ACCAAAATAATGTTCAGAATCCAAAAGTCATCAAAACACAAATTAAAGTGACATCAGGTGTCTAAGAAAGTCCAACTAAGAAATGCCTAAACAAATGAATAAAGAGTGCAATAACTACTATATTGGCGCATCATGACATTATTTGGAACTCTTGTATTTCCTTTTTTTAGGAGAAACAGTACAAGAGAATTTAGAATCTCATTTTTTTTCTTGTCCAATTTTTGTTCAAATGAAAGCTGATGGTGTAATAACAACTGTCAACAATGTTATTGAACATTAACAAAGAGGTAGAAGATGGTTGAATAATGAAGAGGGGGAACCTTTCCATCCTTGTTGGTGGCATTGTCATTATGGAGGCGTGTTGTGTGTTGCTATTGATTTGATTCGACACTTTTATTGAGTGTTTTGTCCCTGGTTCGAACCCTTTAGACTGTTCTAATGTCTTTGTTCCCTTCTTCTACTTGGGGAAGAAATTGATAAGAATATTGATGATCGTAAAGTCAGAATAATATCAAAATATCCTCAGGACAAATTTCACACCAGCTTAACACTATAATAGTTGTACAGATGTACAGATTGTAAAATTATAATCAAATACTCATGTTCAACTTACTAAATGTTCAACATCACTAATGCTCAGATATATATGTTTATAATAAATAAATGTTCATGATATTAACTGCTCAACTTAATATATGTTAAGTATAACAAATGCTCAGATATATATGTTTATAATAAATAAATGTTCATGATATTAACTGCTCAACTTAATATATGTTAAGTATAACAAATGCTCAGATATATATGTTTATAATTAATAAATGTTCATGATATTAACTGCTCAACTTAATATATGTTAAGTATAACAAATGCTCAGATATATATGTTTATAATTAATAAATGTTCATGATATTAACTGCTCAACTTAATATATGTTAAGTATAACAAATGCTCAGATAGATTTATATTTATAAATTAGAAATGTTCATTAAAAAGACCTTATAATTAATAAATGCTAATATAAATAAATGTAAAAATTAATGAAATGCTCATAAAAAATCCTCGAACTAATAAATGCTCATAAAAAAAAAATCACAAACTAATAAATGCTCATAAAAAATTTTTCAAACTAATAAATGCTCTAAGATTTGAACGACATATAGAAGCGAGGAGTATATTAAAGAAATGTGTTATATTCCATAATATTGTCTTGTGTTTTGTTATAATAAATGCTCATAAAAAATTCTCAATATTGTTTGAATCTTGCTATGGGCAAGAAATCTTCTGAGTCATCCTAATTTTGAGCTTTTGAATACTTGTTTTGCTGATGTAGATTTTCATCTCCTATCACCTTAGTTAACATTTACTTTGTATGTATCAGTTCTTGCAAAAGTATCGCTAGCTGCATTAATATATATTCTGACCATAGAGATTGAAGTTTCATCAGCTGGTCAATACAGAGTTTTGGGATAAGCTTGACCAAGTAAATTTAAGTATCTTTCATATACAGAAATATGAGTATATGTGTATATGAGTATGCCAATAAGCAATGTTGAGAGATACCATATGGCAAACAGCAATCCTTGTGTATTGTCATTTCATTATAAAAAGTTAAGAAAACATCTCCCAGCAAATTAACTGCATTATCGACATGATATTTCATCAAGTACATAAACACACCTACATTGAAAATAGTCCTCATTGTGTTTTCTAACATAATTCAAGTCAAAAACTAAAGACTTGAAAAACGAGCAATTCTCGCAGTTTAAATCAATAACGTACAATTATATTGTCAAACTTAAATCATTTTTATTCCATAAAACATTCATTTCTACAAATATTGCTATAAACCTGAAGAAAACTATTACAAGAAATTGATATCGAATCTTAATGTCTTTAGTACTGCATGTAACATAAGTTTAAATGTGTGAACCCACTTATCTTGAATTTCCAAGGACGTGCTGAATCTCATTGGTCCAGAAAAAAACCCTAGGCCAATCAAATTTAGCGACAGAACCAGGTTACTACTTAATGTCCATCATTCTCAGATTTTCTCCTGCTTCAAGATTCTTTCTTTCACTGTCTTAAAGTTAAATATGGATCTGAACCAAATGAAAGGCAAACATTCTAGAGCTTCTGTCAAACATGACTGGCAAAACAAAAACAAAAAAGCAAAAAAAATCATAAAATTAAGGCGTTTCTGTTGTGGCATATGAATAATTGCTTTATGAATATGACAAATGAAAGAAAAAACGTAAAAGAAATCATTCACATATACATGCTACATGTTAAAACCTTGAACCAGTTCCTACAGTCAAATGTCAATGCCTGTCGTCAATGGCGCCTGTCAATGTCCTGCAAGATATATTTTTAATGTAGTTAATTAAGAATGTATATCTCTTAGGGATTGTTCAAGTTGGCAGAAGTCATTAACCTTTATAAGATAAATATATCGGTATAACGTATAATAATAACCATCTCGTTATTTTATAACCTACAGCTAAATTAGTTATGTACCTATAGTACCATACCTTCAATGTCAATAACAATTTCAAAATCAAAGGTCTAAATATATCACATACTGCCAGAAATAAATTTCAAAACTCAGGTTCCACACCTATTTTGGATATTGCCATTACCATAGCCTTGGGAATTCACCATTTCAGGCAAATAAGAAACAATATGTTGGCCATCAGTCTCTAATAGTTCATACAAGAATTCATTTTGAAAAGCTGGTATTCAGGTGATAATTGGCTAATATAGTTGAGAACCAATTTAAAGATGTGACTGCTAGATCTTCACTAAACACTTACAGCTTCTAAAGCATCAACAGATTGTGAAGAAGATTTCAAGATTTCAGGTCTCTTGCCACATATTCTCAAAAGGATCTTAGCACTAGGATATCCCAGAAATGGTGTTAGAAGACAAGACCATAGGACATCCTAGCACTAAGATCGTTTCGAGAACACAGGGCAAGGTTCTTGCAATGCCACTAAATCTTAGTGTTTAATTACGTCACTTTAGCAAAGACCCTTATATATTATCAGTAGTGTTTGCAATAGTGATGTTATAAATGCTCAGTTTAGTGAAATTGTGAGAAACCACAGATATGTGTGTTAAACAGCTACATATACATTATAAGAAGATCTAGCATTATATATTTAAGACTAGAAAATGTCAGAAGGTATTATATAAAGTAATGACAGGATCAAGTAGAAGTAAGCAATTTCTGTGATCATCATAATACTATTTGATAGATTGCTTCTTAATCACTTACTTTTATATTACAATAATGATATATCTATATTGATTGGATAGAACATGATATCAATAGAATTGGGTTTGGTCTCGTGTATGATATATTACAAAACTAATGATATCTATACCTTAAATGATCTTACATGAGAATTTGATTATTGTTATCATTTGATTTTGATTCCACTAGTTACTTGATGCTGTGGACATGCTCAAGATTCAGATATGAAGAGATCAATAGCTTAATAAGTTTCATGATGGTTTAAGTTGTATGATCTAATTTTTCAATCCAAATTACAAAAGCAGAAACAAAATCTACTGACTTACATAAAACGGTCACATGGTCTACATAAGAATGACTTTTTATATAAAAAGCACTATGAATATATAATAAAATTGACTAAAAAATACTTTTTTCTGCAACACAGAAAATCTAATTGACTTCCAGCTAACATGGATCATTTAAGATGTTGCAACATGTGCAGGAAGCTGAATAAATGTTCTTGATAGAGCATGGTTTGGGTTCTCCCAGATACCTCATCATTTGGGATATCCCAGGTAGAGCATGGTTTGGGTTCTCCCAGACACCTCAAGGTTTGGGGTTGTTCCAGATAGTGCATGGTTTGGGTTCTCCCAGATACCTCATGTTTGGGTTGTCCCAGATAGAGCATGGTTTGGGTTCAATGATCAAAGCTGATTTAGAGTTAATTGCTGCAATGTAATATCGTCTAGGGAAATCCAGAATAAACTACTACTTCAAAATTGCAGAACCACTCAATGCACAGCACAGGATGTTCCCAAATTCCGACAGGAACCCGAAAATGCTAGAATCTCAAGATCATATTGCAGATGTGAAGAAATCTTATAGCTATAAGTGTAGAAAGGTATAATGTCCTTCAATGACAAGAAAAATCCTCAGGATATGAAGAAAACGTAGAAAGTTCTGATCACACGAGAAACAGCTGTAAATCATTAGAAGCAGGTACAACGCAGTTTATTTATGCCAGTAGCACAGACTTAGAGGTCATTGTCACAAATGCACTTGAAATGTACAGTTCAGTCACATGCATCATAGAGGTTTGGGGTGCTTTTAAAGAATGAATGCATGCAATGTCCTTTAAATATCATCTATGAATGATACAGGTTGAGCATGTCTGGTAAGATTGGTGAATGATTTATGGTACAACTCAACACACTGGGATGTCAAGTTGCCATAACATGAGCTGCTGGAACAGTCAAGAGCCACTGTAACTTGACATCAGCAGAACATTGCAGATCAAAGGGTGGCTTGGTAAAGGTTTAACTAACTAATACAGAGACATATGATGGCAAACAGGTCTACTTCAGATGAGATGTCTTTTTGGAAATTTGATCTCATCTCCAAAACTAGCTGTCCAGATAGGTATTTTGTATCCATGAATGAGTTGAGCCTTATTCAATTGGATGGTTCTGGTAGTAAATCAAATCATGAACTAAATGATCATATGAATCTTAAACATAAGCATTACCTTCTTTCAAAGAAATTCAACATAGAAAAGACTTGAGGTGACCTAATTCATCAAAGAGTTTTGGGCTAAACAGAACATTTTCAGCAGTTCAAGTATTTTGCCAGGACAGCAGCATTAGCTTTTTTTAATTTCCAACTGTCTAGGGAGCTTTAACGTGCACAGCCTGTAGCACACGGGGCATCGGTTTATTGTTCCATCCAAATGACTAGACGCTTTTTCCATGTCAGCCCCTCTTACCTGCATTGCTGACAGGGGGGAAACCAGGTGGAAAATACCGAAGGTATTATCTCGATCTATGTTGGGATTGAACCCTGGACCTTCTGAGCCACTGCAGCCCCTACTGATGATGCAGAAAGGATCAATGCCAAGAGGTTTAACCAAGACACCCGGTAAACAGATTCTTATGATCCTTAGTTGTTATCTTTGTAGAAAAATAATTGACTTCAAATTGATAAGCAAAACTTATTTCAAAATTGAGCTCCAATTTTCTGAAAATTGGATATAAATTGAATACCATGTGATAAAATATCCAACAAAGAAAACTTGTTACAGTAAAACTTGCCTTCAACTCATCAATGATGTATGTTATAAGTGTAGATAAAATCATATATAGTCCATGATCGTTTCATCTTTCTGATTTCTAAAGATGTTAAAGACCTCACCATAAATAGAAGCAATTACAAGTAGAAAGGCCAGATCAATAGTAGTAACGTAAGAAAATGACATAAGAAAAACTCAGTTCAAACAAGTATCTATTGAATATATTTGGTAGAAAACTTTGATTTCTCTCAACTAAGATCTAAGTGTTTGATTTTATGCTTTGAAATAAAGCTAGAATTTCAGTAGAGATGATGAAAAAAGAAGTGTTTTATGGTTGTATGTTAGATGAAAAAGAATAGACTGTATTATCTATATCTAGGGGAAGTAGATTCTATATTTTGTTTCTTCTAGTTCAGTGCTGTAATGATCCTTCAACAATTTTACTAGTTCAGCACCTTAAAGATTCTTCAGCAAGTGGAGATTGAAAAGTAAGCAGAATGCTGCTTTCTAGTCAAAATTTGTTCACTGCTTGTCATTACCTTTCTATGTTTCACAAATCTGGTTTTTGACAACTTCTCCTGATATATCTTCTTGACAATGCATCTAATTACCAGATTAACCTTACGAAGATGTTTCTGATCTTGCTTTAATGATATTCACACTTTTTTTTAGTTTGCTGGATTGATGGGAGAGAGTGATGCTAACTGATACCAGATCACCAATGTCAAATTTAAGCACATAAACATAATTTTGACTTAATTCTAACTTTGAAACCTCAGAGTTCGACATTAAAAACTTGAATACACTTCAATTTCAAAATTGGATATGTTCAAGCAACAGAACAGTTACCATTGTCAATGTTAATCCAATGTTTTGTTGGTGGAAATATAAATTTATGTTAAACCAAATTAACTAGCAACAACTCTACCAGCTAGATAATACCTGATAAAAACCCTAGCATCCTGTGATGTAGTCAAATGTTGCAAGACAAAAAAAATGGAGTATATGAAGTTTTAATTTTTGACACACAATATCTAGCATCAAACATTAATAAACATAACATCCAATAAGTAATATTTAGTATGGCGCCCCTTTTTACAAAATTACAAACTGGTATTGTATTTTCCTCTTAAAAATGATGTATGCAATTTAGAAAAGCGTTAATCCGTATTTCTACCATGTATTCAATATATCAGAGATAGAAAGCATTGATTTTCCTATAAAAGTTAGGTCCGTATGTTTGATTTACTTTCTGATAATTGTGAAGAATTGACAAGAATCTCTATACTAGTTATTGCCTATCAGTGTAATATGACATGAGAAACGTAGATTTATTACATTTTAATGCCAGTGTGCACCTTACATCATCTTATCATATAGATACATTTACATAACAGTTCTCACATAGAATGACAGCAAAAATATCACAGTTTTCTATAGAATCAGTATACAAATCACAGTGGAATTAAACTCACTATAGCTCATTTATACACCAGCTTTAGGAACTGAATTGAGTTTACGCACTACTTAACTGTACCTGATTGGACTAATGAATACAGACAATGCCATGCATTGTACAATGAAGATAATTTTGTCAGAAGAGTGGCATTAGTCTACTCTTTTTCGATTTTCAATGGTTGAGGGATCTTGATCGTGCACAGCCTGTAGAACACAGGGCCTAGACATCTTTTCCATGTCAGCCCCTCTGATCTGCATCACTGATAGGGGAAAACCAATATTCCAATCAACCTAACTGTGCATGTGGATGGATAATATAGTAATGATAAATAACAATATGTTTGGCCAAAGACCAACTGGTCTGTATACCAAGAAATATCAAGTTTTTATTGTTCACTATACTTCTTTTATCTCTTATTGATTTGAGATAATTTGAATTTGGCTTCTTTCTTATTGGCTTCTTACCACCCATAGGTTTATATTCTAGTATGAATACATCCATAAGTCCTAATAACTTAAATTACTAAAAAACACATACGCCAGAAATCAATAGGGAACAACGTGCTATGAATATATCTATAGATCTAATTTGGAAATTACTTGAAAAGATAAAGTACAGTTGATCAATATTTTTAATAACTAGCTGGTAAATCTCTCCATTTTTAACTCCAATCATTTGATAAAGTAGATTTTTTATAGAAACCTTTGTTCCTTCAATCTCTCTAAGTATAGGATTAAAGAGGCTTCAGAGCTGGAAAATGTCACTTGATAGTCCATTAATGTGTGGTAAAATACTGAAACTTTTGCAGTAATTATTTATACCAAACTCTTTTCATGGCTTGGAGACTCTTTTCAATGCTGAAAGATGCATTACCTGTGGACTCTTTTCATATCATAGACATTTTTTTCATAGCCTTGATATTTTTCAGGAAGCTCAATTTAAACCCACAGACTCTTTCCTAAGTCCAAAGACTCCTTCAAATTATACAGTCTCTTTCCAAACAGGCCTTTCAAAGTTTTTAGAATTTTTCTGAAGCCTACAGGTTGCAGAAAAAGTCCAGAAACTACCATCAAAATGCTAAGATTCTTTTTATTGTGTACAAGATCTTTTCACTACACAGAGATTCGTTCCAAACACTTTAAATTATGATCCATTATAAAAGTGCCACAGCTCCTTTAAGATAATATATAGATAGAGGTTGATTAATTTTTTTCTCTATTTATGAGAATATTATGTTATAGAAGAGAGTTTTATTATTGACTCTAATCTAATATAAGCAATAGATAATGGAAGTGAGTTCTATTATACATTATCAACAACTCCTGATGACAATATTATTAACCATATCATGTATATTCATCAATATACAGTCTTTATGTAACATTTCAAAGAGCACAGATTTCCTGAAAGGACAGTTATTCAAAGGATATGCCAGCTCAACAGAAGCTTTTAAAAAGAATATAGATATACTGAACAGGCAGTTATTCAAAGGATATGCCAACTCAACAGAAGTTTTTAAAGAGAATATAGATTTCCTGAAAGGACAGTTATTCAAAGGATATGCCAGCTCAACAGAAGCTTTTAAAAAGAATATAGATATACTGAACAGGCAGTTATTCAAAGGATATGCCAACTCAACAGAAGTTTTTAAAGAGAATATAGATTTCCTGAAAGGACAGTTATTCAAAGGATATGCCAGCTCAACAGAAGCTTTTAAAAAGAATATAGATATACTGAACAGGCAGTTATTCAAAGGATATGCCAACTCAACAGAAGTTTTTAAAGAGAATATAGATTTCCTGAAAGGACAGTTATTCAAAGGATATGCCAACTCAACGGAAGCTTTTTAAGAGATATAGATATACGGAACAGGCAGTTTCCAAAGATAGAGCTGTAAGATGTCCTTATGATCACTAGAGCTGTTACCAAAATGGTCCTAGCTAACATCTCATTCCCTAAAATTAATTGCAGAAGTTGACTTCTATCATATATTCTACTCTTCCACCTATCCAAGGATATGCCAACACAATCAAAGCTTTCAGAGAGCACAGATTTACAGTTATCTGAGAGATATGCAAACTTAACAAACCCTTTACAGATTTATTGAAAAAGAGGTTTTGAATTCTTGAACTTTCAGGTCCAACAATTAAATTAGAAGAAATCTTATCCAACCCTTTCATTCCAAAATCCTAACAATGTTAATAGACATTTTTAAAATTTTGGTGAGGTCATGTCTGAATATTTGATCAAAAGTGTAAAAGAACATCAGAGAAAGTCAAACGTACCAAACTTCATTGAAAACAACCATTACACTTGGACAGGATCCCTTTAAAGAAAGTAACTATCAATGTTTATTAGTTGATGTTTTGTAGTAAATGGTTTCAGATTGATTAAATTAACTTTCATTACTGACTTTTTTATCTTCTATCAAAAGACATGAAGAGCTGATTTCTCTCTTGATCTGGTGCTTTGTTTTTTATACTATCTTACTATTTATGAGCTAATGTACTATCAATAATCATAAAAACCACAACGCAATATTTATTCATTATAACGACTACTTAGATGACTTATCAAGCTAAACTAAGCCTGGATTATAAGTAATCAGGATTAAAATAAAAATGATCTCAAAGACCTTGGTATCTTTTTTCTAAACAAAAAAAATCAATATTTATGCTGTATCATGTAAAGCTAATGTAAGTTCTTGCAAAAGATGAACTGATTTCCATGTTGGAAAGCATCTACTGAAGGTCGACAAGTCCAATGATATTATTAGCATTGATAAAGATGCACAAGAAAAAACTTCAAAGAGATCAAATGAAATCCATGAAACACAATAAGGCTGAAATATAAATGACATAAAGCTGATCTTACCAAGAATATATAACTAATATAACTGTCAATATACAAGAAAACATTAATGACATTTGTGATAGTAAATGCCAATATCAGAATGACAATCCTGAAACCTTTTAACAATACAAAATTATCTATTTTCAAAAAGGAAAATGAATGAAGATTCTGAGAACTGTTTCAATTCTTGTCTAACTTGAGTTGATGGTCTACATAGACGTTGTTAGTCATTGTTGGACACGGAAAAAGGGTTGAGTCGATCAGATCCGAACGATAAACCCACCAATGCCCTGTGTCCTTTGACAGTTGGAAATTGTAAAAAAGATTGCTAATGCCACTGTTCTGGCAAAATTTCCCTCAAAGCACACTGCATGGTGCAGAAAAGTAGGACATAGAACTCCAACTATTTCATTATATTTTATTTCAATTAAAAGAAGATTTTGTGTCAAGTACATCAATAATTCAACTACCAAAACTTTCTTAGGACAAAATTTAAAAAAAAAAACTAAATGCATTATTAACTTCCTTTATCAAGAAACACCTTTATTTGGTCATGAAAGCTCTTCTTCTTCTTTCAATTCGAGTAAGAGAAAACGATTTGAAATATCTCCATAATTATGTAAATGCCACCTACTGAATAGCTTTAAGGCTTTGTTTTTACTTCTTAAATACACATTATTATTCTTATTATTGTTCCAAATACAACACAAAATTAGCACAAAAAGTCAGCAAATAAGCTTAAAACATAATAGAACACAAATCATTTAAATTTCAAATCACAAATTATTGGAGGGAAAAAATGGCTCAGAAACCATAAATATAAAGTTTTTTACAACTTGTCATTTTTTACCAGGTCAGAATTAATGTCACTTATGAGTAAATGTGCACGGAATAAGCAATGATTTAAAGTATGAACAACAATAATTTAATTCCTCACAAGAGAGAAACTTTCACAAATCTTTCAAAGATAATCTCGGAAAATTCTAGTAAAACACATTGATCAATAGGAAAAGTTATCTTTAGATTTCCCAGCAATTTTTTTTTTCCCTGGTTTTAAAAGATGAGTTTAGTTGGCGTCAGTATTTGAAAATATCACAAATATGTGTAAACTTATACTTGCTGTTGATTCAATTTCTATCGAATTCTTATTGTAATTACATGGTTAGTGAAATCCTGAAACTTTGATAAATTTTATTAAAATATCTAATGTACAAAGATATGTTATTAATTTTCAATGGTTTCTCACTAAGAAATATCACAATCCAATAGAAAAAATAAATTCATTTAAATTGAATGCCAAAACAAACACTTTGAGAAATTGAAAGTAATAATATTTGCCAAAAATAATATTGTAGGAGAAAATATGGATATTTATTGTACAAGATACTATTCAAATGTAAACTGAATTTATTCAATTGGTTCTCTCGTAAAATCCTGGTTCACCAACCTAGGTTACAATTACCCCTTGTGGGTGCCAGCATACATCACAGGGGGTTCCTAAGTGGATCCTAAAAGAAAGATCTACAAGGATAACAACTAAGGATCCTTTCTACCAGCTGGCTGTAGGCCAAACCTCTTGGCATTGATCTTTCCCTGATTATCTATACCCATTTTCAAATAGGTTGACTAGAAATATGAGTGAAGATGACTTATTCAAGATAATAACCCACGATCACCATTTGTTTAACATAACCAAGCTATTGACGTCATGGAAAGAACCAACACTCTAACTTATTGTGCTTGTATGGTAGAGATGTTTTAATATCAGTGGTGCTGGACTCTCAATCAAAGGTTTTCCCCCTTGTCAGTGATGCAGGTAAGAGGGGCTGATATGGAAGGAGCTTCTAGTCGTCTGGATGGGACAATAAACCGAGGCCCCATGTGCTACAGTTGGAAATCGAAAAAGAGCAGGTTAATGCTACTGTCCCCGTAAAATTTTCCCTCATTACACCCTGCATGGCATTGGTGTCTTTATTAGGTGCAGAAGAGTAGGATGTAAAACTCCATTGATTTCATTTATATATACATATAATGGATGGCAATGTTCTTGGCACCACCTTTTATCTCTGTTATGTATTGCCATACTTCCAGAATGGAAGAAATATAGGACCAGATGAGAGAACTTAGCTATCTGTAACACTTCTCAGATGTAAAATATGACTTAAATACCCCTTACAATTGAACAAACAAGGAGTGGGTAGGAATGGAAGACCAACATTCCTCCCACCCCCTCTTTCTCCTCACACCCCCACTTCCTTACTGATTTGAACACTAAGTTCAACCAAACCAAAAGAATCAATGGGAACTGAAATTGATATAATTTTACTTCTTCTAATATACACAACTCATGTTTAAAATAAAATATATTTCATCTCCATTTTGTCACAGTAGTATTTTCTTATTTTATTTCACCATGTTGATTATAGCACTTCAATAATTGATAGCACCAACAACAGGACAAAGCTAGTTATGTCAATTTACCTCCTTTAAAACATATGTTATTTCTCCAACACTGGGGTGGAAAGTGGAAATGTGTTGATTTTGTAGGAATTATCATTCTCAACACAGAGGTTATGGCTAAGTAACACACTAAGTCTCTGTCACAAATTAACCTATTTATTACAATAGGTCATCAAATGAAATGAAATGAAAACAGTTGTTTCCTAATTTCTGTTCCAGATTGGGCTAAAGAAGATCGGCAATACCTTGAATTGTGCAATGAGGAAAGTTTTGCTAGGTCAAAATGTCACTTAACAACAAAGACTGAACAGGGTGGAATGACAATGACACCGAACATGAGATGCATAACAATTTCATCAGATGATAGATGGCAAGTTGAATCGCCCACAGGAACAGCAAAAAACGAAACACCAAGATTTGCATTTTATAAGACTGAAAACCTCAATCACAGAGTAACTTGAGGTGTACTACAAAAATAGATAGACACAGTATGGGCCTTTATTATCATTAGGGCTTCATTCTAAGGCATTTTTTTCTGAATCCAATGCTATGAAACTGTCAGAGAAGACAAGTTGATTAGTTAATGAATGTGGACTCTGTGTTCAGAATGTATAATATTATTTGATAAACATAGTTTGGTAGTATGACACTATGAAAATCAACATTATTATGTATATTTGGTGGGTTACATTGTTTATATAATGAGAACAACCAAATTGTTCATTGTTATTTTTCATTTGTCACTGTACAGTAATATTTAACTACTGATAAACTTTAAAACATTCTTTTCTCAATTTTAAAGGTATACTACTTCTTAGAATGACCCAAAAATTTAAATTTTTAACTTGGCTAAAATGAGTCTATCTACTTCAGAATCACTCTATAATTTATATAAATTCAAAAAACTATGTAATTATCTATAAAACTAAGTATAACTAAGTAATTTATCCATAAAACTTAGTATAACTAAGTAATTATCCATAAAACTAAGTATAACTAAGTAATTATCCATAAAACTAAGTATAACTAAGTAATTATCCATAAAACTAAGTATAACTAAGTAATTATCCATAAAACTAAGTATAACTAAGTAATTATCCATAAAACTACAAGTTATTATTGAAAACGCTTTATATTTTTAAAGACTTTTTCAATAATTACTTAGTTTTTTTTTATTTATCGAGTTATAAAGAGATTCTGTGGTATAGTTACGACACCAGGTAAGTCAATTGATGCATATATACCCATATTAGCCAAATTTGAGACTTTAATGTTAATGTTCATTCTAAGAGGTAGTATTACTTTAATTAGGTTTCTGGGTTTGGTCAGTGCATGTACATTACTTTTTGTTAAAATTGATATTGTTCTTATAAACATTGATTGTTATTTAATATATTATTATCATTTATTGTGTAAAGGGTTATTGTTATTAATCATTACATGATAAACTGAGCTGACTGATATTATACAGAATCATACAGAATCTAACAGAAGCTTCCATTCTTTTGTGAATTTTGTGCAAAATGGTATTCTCTAA